ATCAATATTTTGTTTATTTATTTATTCATTGATGAATATTTGAATTGTTCCCACTTTTTAGCTATTAAAACTAGTGTTGGCTGCGTGCAGTGGCTCATGCCTGTAATCCTAGCACTTCGGGAAGATGAGGCAGGTGGATCACTTGAGGCCAAGAGTTTGAGATCAGCCTGGCCAACATGGTGAAACCCCCTGTCTCTACTAAAAATACAAACATTAGCCAGGCATGGTGGGGCATGCCTGTAATCTCAGCTACTTAGGAGGCTGAGGCAGAAGAATCTCTTGAATCCGGGGGTCGGAGGTTGCAGTGCGCCACTGTACTCCAGCCTGGGCAACAGAGCAAGACTCTGTCTCAAAAAACAAAACAAAACAACAAAACAAACCACTACTGCTATGAACGTACATGTGCATATTGTTATACAGACATATGCTTTCATTTCTCTTGGATACACACACACACACACACACACACACACACACACACATATGTCTAGGAGTGCAATTGCTGGTTTTTATGGCAACTCTGTGTTTAGCATTTTGAGAAACAGCCAGTCTGTTTTCCAAAGTGGCTGCACTATTTTGCATTCCCACCAGCAATGAAGGAGGGTTCTAACTTCTCCATACCTCCGCCAACGCTTGTTATTGTCTGTCTCTTTTATTTATAGCCGTGGTATCTCACTGTGTTTTGATTTGCATTTCCCTGATGACTAATAATGGGGACATCTTTTCATGAGCTTATCGGTCATGTGTACGTCTTCTTTGGAGCAAGGTCTATTGTAATCCTTTATCCATCATTAAAGGTAGGTGGTTTGTCTTTTTGTTGGTAAGTATAAGAGTTCTTTACATGTTTAGATACTACTCCCTTATCAAATAGATGATTCACAAAGGTTTTCTCCCATTTCGTGGGTTGCCTTTCCACTTCCTTGATGGTGTCCTTTGATGCACAAAAGTTTTTAGCTTTGGCCAAGTCTAATTTCTCTATTTTTTCTTTTGTTGCCTGTGCTTTTGGTAGTGTATATTAAAAACCATTGTTTAACACAAGGTCATCAAGATTTATTCCTATGTCCTTTCCTAAGGATTTTATTTTTTATTTTCTTTTTCCTTTCTTTTTTTTTTGAGATAAAGTCTCTGTCTGTCGCCAAAGCTGGAGTGCAGTGGTGCAATCTCGGCTCACTGCAACCTCTGCCTCCTGGGTTCAAGTGATTCTTCTGCCTCAGCCTCCCGAGTAGCTGCGATTACAGGCACCCGCCACCACCACGCCCAGTTAATTGTGTTTTTAGTGGAGACGGGGTTTCACCATGTTGGCCAGGCAGGACTCAAACTCCTGATCTCAGGTGATCCGCTCGCCTCGGCCTCCCAAAGTGCTGGGATCACAGGTGTGAGCCACTGCGCCTGGCCTTCCTAAGGATTTTATAATTTTAGTGCTTACATTTAGGTCTACGATCCATTTTGAGTTAATTTTTGTGCACAGCATGAGGTCGGGGTCCAACTTCATTCTTTTGCACATGGATATCCAGTTGTCCCAGCACCATTTTCTGAAAAGACTATTCCTTACCCCATTGAACTGTCTTGGCACCCTTGTCAAAAATCAACTGATGGCTGGTCTGAAGGCAGTGAGTTATCGCAATTGATTGTTCACAGTCAGCTACAGATGGAACACCTCGTT